ATAAGAAATTTTTTTAATAAAGAAAATATTTTTTTGTGACTACCAGTATTGGAATAAAGTGGTGCAACTCAGGACTGTCCCGAACGGGGGGTGTAGCGGGGTGTTCCACCACCCCTAAAGATGTCATACAATCATTTAAGTTGGCACATTGAGCAAGTTTTGAACTATAATTGGGAAATTGCAAATATAGAAGACCTTTTTTTTTTTTTTTTTTTTTTTCGGTGTCTCTAGTTGGCAATATACCCCCCTCCCTACGAGGGGGGTATATTGCCAACTAGAGACACCAAAAGTTTAGTTTTTTTCTTAAAACGAATCAAAATTTATAGTTAAGTCTGGATTTCTGTAAATGCAAATAAATAAAGCATAATTAGTTCATAAAGAAACTACAAACGAATGACAAATTCAAGTCTCACACAATATGTTTATACCTTTTATGTATGGATATCCTGCTGAAAACCACAAAAGCTATATATCGATTGAATTGATGATAATTAATAATGATAAAGCTAAGGAACGTAACGTGGTGCTCTTGACAAAGCCAACCCATTGCAGCCAAAAACTCTAACTACATAAATAAATTATATCTATTGGTATGTTATGTTATAAGTAGAACAGACAGAATAAGAAAAATGTTCAAAACATTTTTATCACTAATTTTTCGCATTTTACTCCAACCATTGTTCGATTTCACCCTGACACGGACTGGAATTGACATGGATTGGGTTTTTAATGTGACAGTTTTTTATATGACAATAGTCAGGATCGGATCAAGGGTGTAGCAAGTGAAGCAATTGCTAAAATCTACTCGGACTACATTTATTATTATTTTCAACACATACACACATATTTATATTATATACGTGTATATATATATATATATATATATATATATATATATATATATATATATATATATATATATATATATATATATATATATATATATATCAGGGGCGGGTTTAGGGTTAGTCTTGTTAGGCGCATTGACTAACATCTTTTTTACTAAACTAAACAACGATTAGGCTAATGAAATATGTTATATATTTTTGAAATTAAATAAAATCTCTATTTTTTTGGTCTAAACAGCAATAGCAATTAAACTATGATAAGTATATGCGCCAAATAGCCCCGTCTTGTAATTTTTTTTCGGTAGCGTAACTTTGGACCAAGTTAGTCAAGAAATCTTGCGACTTATCTGGCCCGTTTATTCGGCTGACGAGACTTCAAAAAATTATTGAAGTCCTTTAAATTTTTTTTATTTTTACTGTTCGGTAAAGTAACTTAAGGCCAAGTTAGTCAAAAAAATCTTGCGACTTATCTGGCCCTTTTATTCGGCTGACGAGATTTTAAAAACTTGTTAAAATAGTTTAAATTGTTTTATTTTTGTCGTTCGGTAGCGTAACTTCAGGCCAAGTTAGTCGAATTAAATATATGATGATTACCCCCTGACTAATTTAAAAGAAGCCTTTTCTAACAATAATTCTTTGGGTATGTGCCACTGATCTCAAAATATAACTGGATAGCGGATTCTATTGTTTTTTCCGAAAAAAGTTGAAGCCAAAATTGGCCTCCCAAGATGGCGGCGATTTTAGTTCCTAGCGGTAAAACCGATATATATTATATTTTACTTTATCAAAATACAAAAAAAAAAAAAAAAAAAAAAAAATTAAGCTTTTGTAAACTTGTAAGAAACAGAAGAAAATAATGAATTTTATAATTAATAATAATAAAAAAAAGGAATTATCTTTTTTTATAATTGAATTTATTATTAAATGGCATTAGTAAAATTTACAATTTTAGTTTTATGTATAATTTATGTACCTTTTAGTTCTTAGCTACCCAATGCTGTATGCTAGAAAGTTAATAACATAACAGCATGTTAAGCAGCAATCATTTCTACCTATAATTTTATATTCTCTATTTTTTGTAACAAGATACCAATTTGTAAAAATGCTGCATGAACTATTAATTGAGAATTGTGAGTACACAGAAACTCAAGGGTTTCTTCTAGAATTATATTATACTTGAATGCTATTATTGCATAAATTGTCACTTGTACTGTTAAAAAAACAGGTCTGAATTATGTTATTTATAACAAATTTTAAAACAAATAAAAAGTTAATGATCATTTCTTACTTAATTACTAAATACAAATAAGGATGCAAATGTATGTAAAAATACATTTGTTTGAAAAAAATGTATTAATTAAATCTTTAATATAAAAATAATCAAAACATCTCTTTGAAATATCTTCATAACTAAAGTTATATATACTGTTTACCTGCTGTTAAGTATTATGGTTATATGCTATAGTTTGGTGACTTTTATGTTAATTAAATGCATGTTGCAGTTAAACAATTTTATAAATTTTTATATGATTGTCTGGTCTAAAAACTGGTTTTATTGGATAGTTGGTAGCTATTAAATCTGTTTAAGATATATTTGACTGAGTGGGAAAAGTAGGTTAAAATTATAAATAAAATTATTATAAACCATAAAATTATTAAATATATAAGCTTTTTATTAGAGCTGTGCGGGAATGTTTAACAACAATATCAATTGCCAATAATTTACAGCCACGTATATATCTTCATCTCACATATTTATGATCTTGAGCGTTCAATATTAAAATGGAATAATCACAAATATCTACATAATCTTGGTAATATTGACCACGATTATGCAGATATTCCAAATTGCAGCATTCTATTTGAATTCAAAAAATTTCATAGATTGCTGGATAAACAGCTAAAATGATATAAAATAAATAATCTGCATTAAATGTATATATTTATATTTATACAATATGTATATAATATGTATATATGTATATATGTATATATATATATATATATATATATATATATATATATATATATATATATATATATATATATATATATATATATATATATATATATATACAAACATATGTGTGTGTAGTGATTTTAGAAGAATACAACCAAATAAAAAATAATGTACAAATAATTACATATAAAAAAATTCTAGAAGGAACCCCTGAGTTGTGAATACTCACAGAGCTCAGCTAATAGTTCATGCAGCATTTGTAAATTTATAATATCTATTTAAAAAACTAATTAAAAGTTTATTTTAAAAAGATATTCAGCTGCCTACCATGCAGTTATGTTATTAACCTTCTAGCACACAGCATTGGGTAGTTAAGAACTAAAAGGTACATAAATTGTATAAAAAGCAATATTAAACAATTAATTTATGGTAAAACTAAATAAATGTTATAATATACCATTTATTTACTTTTCATTTTAGTTTTACCATAAATAAACTTTTTATCTGTATATCATATAAAAATAAAAAATGATTAAAATGATTTCAGTCTTTTACATTTCAAACATTTATTTTAGTTGTCTAGAAATTGTTAATAACTACTAGAGTCTTATTTTAATTCCACTAATAGGTTATAACTAGTTATAACTAATAACTAATAGGTTATAACTAGTAATAAGCTATTAATAATAGGTTATCACTAGTTATATAGAGTAACCTAGTAGTTTATCTACTAGGTTTTAGGTACTATTTTTTTGTGTGCTCTTTACTAATATTAAAATAAACTAGTTTCTAATTAATTTAACTAAAAAATTTTATCCTATTTAATCAAATTTTTTACAAAAAAAAAAGATTTAATGACAAACAAACTTACTGTTTAGAAATTACTTACTGTTTAGAAATTAAATAAAATAAACTTACTGACAAACTTACTGTTTAGAGTATATTTTGTTAACCAAAATATTATAAATATTTTAGAAATTTACGTAAATATGTAATATTGTTGCTATGTAAAACCAAAAATTATATTTGTATTTGAGACTTGTACATTTATTTTTATATAAAAAAAGATATAAAAATTCGTTACGAAAATTTCTAAATTTGTAATAAACAAATACGCCGCCATCTTGGGAGGCCAAAACTGGCTTCAAAAAATTTGCCGCATACGCTATCC